GCAACTCAGTGGTCAGAAAAAATGGGAATCACAGAACATCTCATTATTCTCATCAGAAACTTGTATAGAGGTCAGACAGTCACAGTACAACCAGAACATGGTGAAAAAGACTGACTTCATTTTGGCAAAGAAGATAAAACTGTATACTCAGTAAGATGATGACATTGCCTTGATTACTGAAAATGCAAAGATTCTGCAAGCCCTAGTAATAAAAACAAGGCAAAGAGTGAAAAATGGATCTAAAATTAAATATATAGATGAACAAATTAATGACAAGATTAACCAGCCTTAGAAGTAAAAATGAAGATATTGAACTGGTGGAAAAATTCTGCCTTTTAGGATCGACCATTGACCATCAATAGTAAAAGAACAACCAATCAAGAAATACAGTGCAGACTAACACTTGGTAGAACAGCCATGAAAACCTTGAAAAAGATATTCAAATGCATGATGTACCTTTATAAATATCAGAATTGTGTAGGCCATGGTATTCCCTGTGACAGTGTTATGGAAGTGAAAGTTGAAAACGCAAGATTGGAAGAATATTGACACTTTTGATCTTTGGCGTTGGAGAAGGATCCTGAGAATACCATATTTAGACAAGAAAACAAACCAATGGATCATAAATGATTCAACAAGAATTCTTACAGAAATGACCAGGTGCAAGGGACTAGCTCTCTGAAGAAGGTTCTAATGATGGGAAAGTTGAAGGAAAGAGAAGAAGAGGATGACCAACAGTGAAGTGAAGAGACTCAGTTACAATAGATGTGCCTTTGGAAGACCTGAAGGATCTAGTTAGGGACAGATCATAATGGAGGAATGATCACACTGTCAATATGATCCCTAAGAGTCTACAATATCTTAATGGCACATGATCAATATTATTTGCAGCATTAGATAAAGGTAATAATTCCTTGTCATGCTCTATTCCTGGTAACATATTGACTGCACAAAATGGAAGTGATTTGCTGTGGTACTTCCACCCCATCCCCTGTTCCATCCTTGTTTAACTTTTTAGACTAGCCAAGATTGACTAGGTCAGGGCTATCACACTGCCAGCCCACAGGCCGGATGCGTCACGAGGAAACTGCGCCCACCCCATTGCCAGCAATGGGGAAAAAGCTCCAATACATCGTGCGATGTCACGTGATGTCGCGAGTTTGACATGTCTGGACTAGGTGGTACCACCTGCTGTGACCTAGCAGTAGATAAAAGGTCTTATTTTTTCACTTAAAGCTTTTAGTTTTAGGTGGGGGAACAGCATTATAGTCTTTAGATCCTGTGTTGGTCAGTTATGGCAAGGTTAGCAGATCATGTTCTGTCTGTGTCTCTTTAAAATAGAATGGATAATAAATCATATGAATGATAATCTGTCACAATCTGCATATTTTCATTTCATAAGTCAAAAGTGTTTTTCGTCTCATAAATGTTGATGTGAATTATATTGCTTCTTTATTTCATTTGAAATTGGACCAGGCTATCTTCATCACATAGCATAATATACAATATTATTTGCATAAGTCTGTCAAGAACTACTACTTAGGTGGTTTTGCACATAAACTGTTTTTCTATAATACATTATTTTCAAAGTGTATAACACTGTGAAAAAAATCTTTGCTTTCCGTTACAGATGTAGCTATCCTTTTTATCTTCTTTCATGTGTCTCATTTACATAACTAAAACTTTTACCCAGCAAACTACTATGGCTGTGGATCTTCTCCCTTTTCTTGTAGCAATTAATTGATTTTCTGTTCAAATGCATTTAATCACTATTTTGAAAGACTAACATTGTGCTAATAAATATAATCTTTGATTTTTGTCTGTTCCCTTCTATTTTTCTGGGAAAGTTCAGTATTTCTTCCATATTCCTTATCTTTTATTCACATGCTACTTTGTAACATTTGTTAAACTTGTGGTGTTTGGAAAAGATAAACTTTCTAAAAATAGTGTTATAAAATACTGATACGTTTAACTATTTGTAGACTACCCCAAATTTTGAAACCTTAGAGCATTTCAATCAAATGTTTTACACTTAGACATTGAAAAAGAATGTTATAAAATATATATTTTAAAATGATATAACTAATTGTGTTATCAGTGATACTGATCATAGTAATAACATCTCACCAATCAGATATTGTAAGAAGAGACCTATATTAGTTTATAATAGCCAAAACTCAGAAGGAGTCTGGTGGCAGTGTTTCCAACTAATACATTTTATTAAAAACTAGCTGCACCCGGCCACGCGTTGCTGTGGCTCAGTCTGGTTAAATGGAAAAGCATGTTTTTACCTGTCACAAGTGTGACATCTATATAATAGTAGGTATATAAAAACAGGTGCGTATTCGAATGCAACATTGTGTCAAAATTTCAAAGCAATCGGTGAAGAACGTTCGGAGATTTAAGATTTTGAACAAACGAACATTTACATTTTTATTTATATAGATTAGCTTTCATAAGCTGCAGCTCACCAGCTAAAATCCTTTTTTGCCCAATTCACAGCTACTATTAAATATATTTCTTTATAAAAGTAAGAAATTCATGCAGCAAGTCATTTATGATTAGATGATTCATAATCATATTGAACATGAAGATTGAACATTCTTCCATTTTATTTAAGATATCTAGTTTTAAGCAAGGAAAAATGAGCACTTAGCTGCTATTTGAATTCCTTTGTTTCAGTTCCTAAGATACATTCTAATTAGATGCAGAAGTGGGTTTTTTTGTATTGCTGCATAATACAGTGTCATGTTTCCACTTTTTGAATTTACATTGTACACATATACTGTGTGATAATAATAAGCATAATTCATGGTATATAATGGAATAATCTCCTTCTGCAGTCTCTTGTGATGACTAATATACAGACTAATCAAAACCAAAGTCAGTCGTTTCTTCAAGGGCAAATCCCTGCCAGAACCTTTTGCTGTCTGTTTTCTCCTTGGGACACTGTTTTTCCATTCCTTCTGATGATGGATTTTGGTATACTAGTAAAAATTATCCTATTCTAAAAATAATATCGCAAAACATAATAGGATCGTACTGATAGAAGAAATCTGAGTTCAAATCAGCTGAATATGAATCTCCCTTTGGATAATTCTTCATGTTCACGGTCTCTAACATAAAGGGTATTTCTATATCCACAAGGGTGTTAAAAGAGAAAATAGAGGTAAAACTGAATTGGATCTAGAGCTCTGTATAAATGATGATCATATTATTGTCAAGATGTGTAAGCTTTTGTTAAAAATTGAAATAGAAGACAAACAAGTTAAAGATTGTATATAAAATAGACGAAAATATTTCAAATATAATACAAAGTTGATCTAATGGAATATAATACATGAAGAAAAGTGTTGAAATTTACATTGAGTTATAATTTTGAAGATAATTTTTATAAAATGATACATTGTCGATACATGACATCGGATAAAATGTCAAAAATATGTAAGGGAATTTAAAATATTTGTTGGAAATGTACTCAGACTTGAGGCAACTGAGGTGATTATTTTCATCTTTGGTGCACGTGTCACAAAGCTAGAAAATATTGGGACCAAGTATGTATTTTGATGTGGAAAATTTTAACAGTTAATATACAATTGAAATCAAGGGCCTTTCTGTTGGGCTTAATGGACCTACAAATGGAAACATCTTACAGAACTTTGTTTTTATATATTATAACAACAGCAAGACATTTATATGGTCAAAGATGGAAGACTTACAAATACCTACAATGGATGAATGAATGGTGAAACTGGTAGAATTGGAGGAGATGGTGAAACTGACAGCTTGATGAAAGAGAAGACTTTGACAATTTTTATTTCTACTTGAAAACCATTTTTGAATTTTTGTCAGAAGCTGAAAGGAATGAAAAGTTGATTTGGGGATTTGATCAGTAGACTTATGTGGGATTATAGAAACAATGTAGATGAATGTTAGTGTTTGAGTTACATGTCTTTTTTAACCTACATTGGTACTAAAGAAAGTCAGAAGTCATTTTTCTTTCCTTTCTGTCTTGCACTTTCACCCTTTTACTTTTCTGAGCTTTTTCTTTTTTCAGATTTTTGTTTGTTTGTTTATTTCAACTTTGTATTTTTTTTTAATTAATAAAGATATATAGATAGGAAAACGTTTAAAAGAAAAAGGTTTATTTTGTGGTAAAAATATTATACAAAAGTTTTTCTTGTTCTTTATTGTTGTAATTGTTGCTTATGTACAAAACAGATTTTTTATTTAATTACTCATGTTAATTAAATATTGATGTACAGATGAGATATAAACGATTAGAATTAATGATTTTTATATATTTAGGGGATATGAATTTCTCAGAATTTTGCAAATTTACATGAGACACAGCTTGCTTTTATGATATAATGTTGATTGTTGAAGTTATTATGATAATTTCAAGGTGAAGCATGCCTTTAATGTATCATACCAGATAATTGATAACACAGATACCCTTTAAAGCCTACTATGCGCTTTTCAGACAAATTGAAATCCCAATGGAAGAATTATTTTGGCTAGAATATTCATTTGACTTTAGTTGTCTAGTTTCCAAATATATAGAAAAAATGCAGAAAACTTCAAGCTTAAAACAATTTTGAAAACTTAATGTATTCAGTATTCAAAAGAGTTTTCACATTGTATGAGTGGGCTTGCACAATATAAGAGATAATTATCACCTTTCCTTTGACTATTGCAAAGATCCATGAGGTTGGCAGAGCTATATGGCTATGTAAGTTGAAGTTGTTGCATTTGTTTATGTATAAGATGAGTGAGATGTTCTGATTTACAGTAAAAGCTGTATGTGGATAATGAATGCTGAGTTCTGTTTAGTTTTTTGCCTCCACCCAATCTCTGCATTTCTTCAGCTTAGCTCAAATAAAAAGCAAAAAAAATCTTTCAATTACAGGTTTAAACAGAAATGTTTGGATTATAAGCCTTTTGGGATAACCCAGAGCCTGCAAAACAGGGAATCTTGTATTTGTGTTTTTTTCCTTTAGAAAACCAGAAAAAGGAATCCAGTACCTGATCGACAGAGGCTTTGTGCCAGATACGCCTGTTGGAGTTGCCCATTTCCTGTTACAGAGAAAAGGTCTCAGCAGACAAATGATTGGAGAGTTCCTGGGAAATCGACAAAAGCAGTTTAACAGGGATGTTTTAGAGTAAGTAACATATATAAAACTTTTGTTACACAGTTAAGTATGTGCTACATTAAAAGAAAAAAAGGTGATGCTGAGTGTCTTTTGTTTAAGTCAAAAGTAATTTTTCTTCTGTATAAATCTCTAAATCAGAGGTCCCCAATCTTTTGAGCACCAGGGACCGGTTCCATGGAGAGCATTTTTTTGCGGATCAGAGGGGACGTGGTTTCATGTACTGCCCCGCTTGGGCGGGGCGACGCTAGCGCCGGCAGGATGCTGGGGTGGGCCACGCTAGCCCGGTGGCCAAGCGGCCGTGGCCTGGTAGTGGGCCGTGGCCCACAGGTTGGAGACCCCGCTGTAAATCACTTAGACAGTGAGATTGGCAGTTTATAAATGTATAGAAATTTTATTAATAAAATAAATAAAATCAAGGTGAAGAAATTGTTCCATTTACTATTACATCCATGCATGCCGCTCAGCAGGACTAATGCAGATAAAGGTATAGAAAGGATTTGTTTTTTTGTTGTTTTGTTCTTTATGATTATTTTTTACAAATTTTATTAGTTTATTGAAATATGAAATACAAAGAAAAATGAAAATAATGGGAAAGTAGGGGAGGAAAAGGAGAAGAGGAAGAAATGTAGGGTAAAAGAGGAAAGAAAAAGAAAAGCATTGATTTCCAACTCTTTTTAGCACCATAGAATAAGGTAATAACATGCAACCTCAACTTTTATTTTCACATAGTAATATATACTAGCCATTTCTATAACAACAAACCTGTCTAATCCGCAAAACCCAAATTAAAGTTTCATTATTTTTCTGCCTCAAGCACAAAATACAGAAGTGATTTCCAACTAAAAATAAAGTTAGTTGTATTTTTTTTCTTTAATTAAAGCATCTCTGCTAACTTCATCAGCCTTTGAGCCAAATTTATGATTATTTAAAATAGATAGGCACAAGTTCATTCAGTTGCAAATGGTGCATTTGTTGTTTTTTAAAGCAACGTATGGTTATTCTTTATAAAAATGATTGATGTCAAGGTTCTGACTAATGAAACACTTCAAAGAACTTTCAGGCATTGTTTAACCTAAAAAGCCTTTATTATTGTGTAACAGAGTGTCAGCACGGCATGGAGGATGCCAAGATCTGAATTTCCCTTTCTTTGCACATAACATTCCAGGCATTTCCCCTCCCCTATTTTGGGGTCATGATTCACATCTTCCAATTAACCTGGAGGGCAAAGATTCACTTCCGTTCCCTTCCCGCGTGCTTTTCCCTCCTCTCCCATTCTCATCTGAATTAACTCTAAAAATACCAGACAGCTCTGCATATTTTGTCAAAGCAAGAATATTCAATATTAGCAGCGTTGACAATTATATAAGTCAACAGTGCCTTGTCTAATGATTGGAGCTAATCAATGATATTTGCTGCCAGTCTCAAAATGCTAACAGTGCCATGAATCAGACAGTCCTCCCTCCTGTTGATCAGTGGGAAAGTGCAAAGAACATTCGGTCAGTGCCCTTTTCCAAGGAGCTCCTGATCTGTAACAACATTAAAGTGCGAGTACACATGCCATTCTAACATACATCCCCTCCACCTTTCAATAAATATATTCATTAAATTATTCATTTACCAGGTTGTTAAAAAAAACCTGAGTGGTGTGTTTAAGAGAAGATTAATTGGCTGCAAAGCAATTCTTCTGGCATGAAGGAGTGCCTCAGAAACAGCAAAAATTAAATTATATCATGCCAGCCCTTTTGCAACCAGATGTTTTTCCAGGAGCTGCAATCTGTTATGGAAATGGAATAGGAGAAGCTGCATTCTAAACAATGATTGTAGATAAGCACCAGATTTTAAGACATTTAAAACCTATTCCTTGTTGAGAATAGATAATACTGATTCCTTGAACCTGGCTGAGGAATTCTGGGAGTTGAAGTCCAAAAGTCATAAAAGGGCCAAGTTTGAAGACCCGTGATATAAAGTAAGAATCCCCATCAGTGGAAAAACACCTACAAGTTTTGTGGAATTACAGTGATTCAAAGGAAAGAACCAGCTTTGCCTTAGTTTCAAATACATTAACACAAAGCCAGAAATAGATTAACTTCACAAGAACAGACAAGTCCAGTAGGACTGAAAGAGTATGCCAAATACTTAATGAAGCATCACTGTGGAAAATAAAAGTTCATTTGGTGTTGAAGGGATATGAGCAGGCAATATGTCGTTTCTTGTGCTTTTTTGTGTAACTACTGAGCCTCTTCATTGTCATCTGAAAACTTAGAAGTATACAATATAGTAGTTTGCCTCCATGAGATGATTTTCTGGACTATGAAGCTAAGAATAGTCAAATATAATTGATTCACTGATCGGAGACCACTAATAAACACTATGGTAGGGTAAACTGGAAAATCTAAAACCATTCCAGATGACAGTGATGAACTCACTTGCATACTTTTGCCAAGAATGATGCATGGAAGCGTCTCTAGTCATCTGAGCTGAATTAAGTAGACTAGCTTCTTATGCAGTAATTGGGGAACATAATTTATATTATATGCAAGTCCCTTGTGAGCTCTTCCTGGACTGATATGTCCTATTTGTTTCATATTCATATTCATCTGAAGCAAACCGTACTTAAAAAAATATCTTCCCTGCTCTTTAATCTTTCCTGAAAAAAATTTACATTTCAGTTCAGTTCTATTCCAAAGCTCTATATTTATAACTGTAGCCTGTAGTTTCAAATGCTGCTGGAGAAACTTATTTAAAACTATCAAATGAAATATTTTGTATAGGAATTGGACTACCTAAAAATACTGATATCTTTTTATATTCTGCATAAAATTAGGAAAGTTATTTCTTATGCCACTTCTTTATAGTTTCTCTAGTTATTCAAACTTTTATGGATTAAACATTGATTACTTTATTCTTCTTTTAAGCCATGCAGTAGAGATTGAGTTACTTAAAGCAGCACTGGAATTCAGCCAAAACATGAAATTAAATATGCCATCACAACCTGCACTTAAATCAATCAGTATTAATTAGCTTATATTTTAGCATGTTACTTTGTGCTATGGACTTTATATAGGGCAAGAAAGCAGAAAAATATTCACATGCTATAGTGGTTCATATTTTCTTCTTTCATGTAAATGTCAGAATTTTTTTAAAAAAACAAAATTAATTAGATATTAAATGCCACTCAAAATGCTAAGTTTCATTGCAGTATGATAGCTACACCCTAGCTTAGTTTTCATTTAACCATCTATTTATTTTATGTATTGCTACCAGGTTGTGGGGGAAAATTTCCAATGAGTAAAGTGCAAAATAGTAAATCAGAAATAGATTAAAAATTAGTTTGATATTCAGGCATTCCATTAATTATTTAATGGCTGACCTCCCACCATGCTAAGGATATAATCAAGATAAATTCAATCCAGACAGTGTCTTTAATGGCATGTTCTGGATGGAGAAGCAGGTTTTCACCTTTCCTTCAAAAACTGGTTCCCATTTGCCTTATCGTGGTTGTGGGTTCATACAAATTACAGCATTTTAGGAAAATCCCATGTCAAAAGAAAATGAACCCAGAGAGACCTTAGAAACCAACAATACATTGAATAAGGGTAAACATTACTTATCAGGGAAAAACTGGGCCTCGTGAATGCAGGCTGATTTAGACTCAAACCCTGCAGGAACAATGGTATCCTCATGCAGAGAATCAAAAGATTTGCACATTTAAAACTGCAGGATTTATAAGAAAAAATTAACTGAGGAGTATTGATCTATTCAGAAGACACTATTGGTTCTGAATAGACTTGCATTCTGAACTGCGTTAGATATGTGCCAATTTTATTGTAAGTAAATCTTTTTATATAAGGCTTTCTGTCTGAGACAAAGCCAATGTTAGAAATATTCATAAATAATCAGACCCACTCTCTTGAATCAGCTGACTATTTAAATATTTATCTAAATATTTAACTATTTAAATTTTGTCCAGATTTGGAATTTGACTCATCCCTTTTAGACTAGAGCTTTGATTACTTATGTAACTATGTCTGCTCTGCTTATCCAGTGGCTGAAATAGGACAGTACAGTTCCTACAAGAATCATTGGGAAATATGTGGTATACAAGTTTTAAACATTGTTATTATAATTGCTTACCTTTTTGTTTAAATTTAGAACAAAAACCTAATAACAGTCAATCCAGAGGAATATCAGTGACATCAGCTCATGTCAGAGAAGTCTCTGAATTTGTTGCTGACATGTTATGTGACAAAATATAATGGCAATATAAATAACAATTCCTTATGTGACCAATAAACTACTCTACTCTACTCTACTCTACTCTACTCTACTCTACTCTACTCTACTCTACTCTACTCTATCCCATCCCATCCCATCCCATCCCATCCTATCCTATCCTATCCTATCCTATAAACCAGTTAAATGTATAAAAAGAAAACCAGTTAGGATAAACCAAGATAAATCAATGTTTTCTTTACTTTAGCTGTGTTGTTGATGAGATGGACTTCTCAGCTATGGAACTGGATGAAGCTCTCAGGAAATTTCAAGCTCATATCCGTGTCCAAGGAGAAGCTCAGAAAGTAGAACGACTCATTGAAGCTTTTAGGTATGACACAGCAAGTTACAGCAACTGATTGAAAATGTATAACTCCAGGAATAGTGTGGTTGAATATAGTTACTTTTTAAAAAAATTGCAAAGTGATTGTTCAGATGATCTGTTAAGATAAAATTATGTATATAATTATGTATGTATATAGATTGTAATTTCTGGTAGCTTAATTTGGTTGTTCTTTTGTCATTTATTTTAAACAGAAGCAACAGAATGGTACTATTTTATTTTAAACCTTTAAAAAGAAGTTAAATATATAGTCTCGAATTAACATGCATTGACTTATACAGTTACTATAATAACCTTGAATTAAGCAGTTCAGCTTAGCGGAGCAAAGATATTCGCTCATTAAAACCTATTCAAATTTTCTTTTTCCTGGTGGAGATGTGACAAGAAATGTAAAAGTCATCGAGTGTTCCTAAAATAAAGATATATATACCCTCGGGCATTGATTTATAGTTGTTAAATCAGTGGCATCATTAAACAGAGAAAGGAAAATGCTTCTATGACCACTAAAACCAGTTTGCAATCCTGTGGCTATGGTATATAATAGGTATGCTGTGTTATATGAATAGTTACACTTTTTGATGACTCACTTAGCCTCTGTAAGTTTGCTCTGAAGCAAGGATATTTTACAAGCAACATAGAATACTTTTTTATGAATTCTGCTGTTCAGTTCACTCAAATCAGTATTATATATCCAGTTGACAAATGTCAGTCATATTATGCCTATAATCTGCAATAGTTTTCAAATCACTTAGTGTAAAGGACATAAGTTTAAACTTCAGTTGTGTTGGATAAGTGTGCAAATTTAGAAAATTAATTGCATAAAATGATACAGTTGTCCTTTTGATATACTTTTATTCATTTACCTAATATATGATGTTTGAGAAATTGAAAGTATTTATTTTAGTAAAGTATTCTGCAGTGTAGACTTTTGTTACTATATAAGAGAATAGAATAAAAGAGTAAATACTGTTTTATTTTACTTTTTATACCAAGTGAATAATGATAAGAATATAATTCAGCTTTCTTTATGAATGTATTGTTTTTTTCCTAAATGCCATATCAAGTTATCCTTGAATCTCACCTAGTATTTTTCTAAAATGTCTTTTCTAGCCAGAGATACTGCATCTGCAATCCAGGGGTTGTAAGGCAGTTCAGAAATCCTGATACCATCTTCATTCTAGCTTTTGCAATCATATTATTAAACACAGATATGTATAGTCCAAATGTAAAACCAGAACGTAAAATGAAGCTTGAAGATTTTGTCAAAAATCTAAGAGGTAGGTATAACATGGAGATTTATCATTGACAGTGGAGGTTCGTTCTCCGAGTTTGTGGGTTGGTTTAATTATAATAATAAAGTTTTGAGAGTTAGCCATTCTACCTCAGAGGCTTTGGAGGAACTAGTCCACCTGCTTTTGTTTTTCTCTCAGCAGGCTAAGGAACAGTATTGATAGATTTCATCATTTCAAATTCTGCACTATACTTGGGTTCCTTCTAGGTCTAAACCCAAGATAGTAATAATTGTATATCCAATGATTTGCAAATGGTTTGATTTTTCTTTTGACATTATAAGTGGCTTGGGAATCTATGTGAGGAACAAAGTGTACCTATTAGTGTGTCTCTGTGTATATGTATGCATGTAGATACAGGTATATATTCATAAATAAATAAGTTCTTCTGTTTGGACTACAAAGGCAGACTTTAAAAATACTTGTCTTTAATTAAATCAGGAAGTGACAATGAATAGCATGTGGATACCAGTTTGCCTATGGATATCTCTCTTGATATTATCCAGATTCATTAATATAGCTGATTTATTTTTTATTTTTTATTTAATAATTGTTATGAAATTTTACTAATAGTAATTGCTACTTGTACTAGTCAATAGTAATCATAAAAGTAATAATAAAATACTATATAAACTAAACTAAAAAAAAATAAAAAAAATAAAAAGTAGAAGGTTCAAGAAAAGAGAGAAAAAGGAAGAAAGAAAAATATAAGGAAAAACAGAGCAGTATTTAAAGAAGTGATTTCCAATCTTCATGAGCAGAAATAAAAGTAATTCTTTATCCCCTCCCCTATAAGTACAGTAACCAATACTACCATTAAACTATACAGTTGCAAATGGGTGTTCAACAGTAGTAGTCATCAAGTATCGTTTATTTAGTATTTTTGTATTCCATAAACTATACTTCTAATTATAATTATCCCTATGAAAGAAATACATATTAAATGAAGTAATCAGATTACCAAGAATTATATTTATTATTTATTTTATGAAGTCTCTCAGTCATGATGGCTCTGTGCCAAATAGATCTAGATAGGACTTTGTTAATATCATAGAATATATGGTATTATCATTGAAATAGCCGGAGGAATAGAGAAGTTTAAGGGCCTCTTTTTTGGTCTAAACTTTTTTAAAATCATATTAATGGAAATTAGCACTTTTATTTCAACATTCCAGTATTTTATACTGATGTGACAGTATTCTGGAAATAACAGAATAGAAACAGGCTTGAGGGCTGCAGAGTAGTGCTGTCTGAGCTTGGTCATTTTCTTACAGATGTTTCATTACCAAACTAGCTAATATCATAAACAACATATACATACCATTCAAAAGAAACAATCAAAAAGCCAAACATCTTCTCACCAGCAATCAACACCCTAGTGAGCAGATATTAACAGAGATTAACATTAAACCAACAATCAAGAAGTAAATAATACTCCAATCAAGGAACTACCAACTCAGTCACACAAGCTGAGTTGGTTGTTGATAGTTTACTCAGTTGGCTGAGTAAACAGCAGCCCAATCAAGGAACCACCAAGACTGACAAGGAAGGCCACTTGTATATATAAAATGAGAGCAAACCCCATTTTATACTAGCACCGATGTTCATTATCTCATGAAACATCTGCAAGAAAATAACCAAGCTCAGAGAGCACTAAGTTCAACCCTGATTTATAAATATTGTCTTCTATCATACTTATTTCTGTTTTATATCATTTCTGGGACTTGGGCAAATATTAATAAATAAGAACTACTTTTAAAAGGAGTCAATTGAGAGGGAACTGTTGTCTACATCGTTTCTTCAGGTTTTTGCAAAGGCTGAGATTACTAAACAAGATGCATCTTTAGTCTTAAATAGAAGGGTTTTTATGTTCTTACAAACAGTCAATAATTGTGTGTGAATGGAAGACCTAATTTGCCTATTTCTGCTTAACAATAGAAGTATTGCCATATCGATGAGCCTTATGCCTGTTTTTTTATTGCAAAATGGCTGTTTGTAGTATGGTATAGAGCAGAGATAGGCAACCTCGGCTCTTTTATGACTCATGGACTTCAACTCCCAGAATTCCTGAGTCAGCTCTGCTGACTCAGGAATTCTGGGAGTTGAAGTCCATGAGTCATAAAAGAGCCGAGGTTGCCTACCCCTGGTATAGAGAAATCTAGACTTTAATTGGCATAATGGTTATATTAGCAGCCAGGACCTGCTTTGGGGTTGATATTCCAGACAAATTTATTTATTTATTAAATTTCTATGCCTCCCATCTCCCCTATAAGGTGACTGGTAGTATCCAAATCAGATATATCTTTGGTTTGGGGTTCTATGAAGAATAATATAATGAAAGTGCGAAGATGGTACGTGTATTAATCAGCAGTGATTATAATCACTTTTCCAGGTGTAGATGATGGTGAAGATATTCCACGAGAGATGCTCATTGGGATTTATGAGAGAATCCGAAAACGGGAACTCAAGACCAATGAGGATCATGTGTCACAGGTCCAAAAGGTTGAAAAACTCATAGTAGGAAAAAAGCCGGTAAGCTTCTCTTATGGATAATATTATGCATAAAGTTAGACTGGATTGTCTCAGAATGTTGCCAGAATATTGCAGGATAATGAAAGTCTTCTAAAAAATCATACTATGATTATAATCAGAAAGACTAAAAATGGAAGAAAATTGAATAACTTTGTACTGGTAGTGTATTAGAGCTAGTGCTTGACGTAACAGCCACAACTGAGCCCAGAATTTCTGTTGCTAAGTGATACATATGTTAAGTGAATTTTTCCCCATTTTACGAACCTTTCTTGACACGGTTGTTAAGTAAATCCCTGCATTTGTTAAGTTAGTCACATGATTGTTAAGTGAATCTGGCTTCCCCATTGATTTTGCTTGTCAAATAGTGATTTGTTTGTTTCAGCAAACCATAGTTAACATCAACTAGCCTTTGTCTCATTTCTGAAGATGTTGTGGCATGTTGCAGTTATTCTAAAATATTACGTTGTTCCATTTCCTGTACATGGGAACAAGGAGAAAGATTAGAGAGGAATTGCTGAGGGAAGCATAGAGTGAGGGTCCTGGTTTGTCTTTGAAAACCTGGCAAAATGAAAGAAATGGTTCTTTTTCATTACATTCATTGAGATCCAAAATGCAGCACCAATGTAAAAGGTATGTCCCTGGTCCTAGAAAAATGGTTTAGCGTGTCTTCAGGGAATTTCTGGATGGTATAGCTGGTGCTTCTGTTGAAATTTTTTGGAATTAATTATATCAAGAAAGATAAAGAATACAAATGTACATGTTTGAAATGGTTATCACTTAATTGCCCATGAAGCTTAAATAATTATACCGGTTGGCATCAAGGAAGTGAGCTTTCAGATTAAAAGAATAACAGAATTGAAAGGGGCCTTGTAGGCTTTCTAGTCTAACTCCCAGCTGAAGCAGGGAACCCTGTACAATTTCAGACAAATGGTTGTACAATCTCTTCTTTAAAACCTTCAGTCTTGGACCATTCACAACTTTTGGAGGCAAGTTGTTCCACTGATTAATTCTTCTGTCAGGAAATTTTTCCTTAGTTTTAAGTTGTTTCTCTCTTTGATTAGTTTCCATCCATTGCTTCTTGTCGTGCTTTGGAGAATAAGTTGACGGGTGGTGGGATTCAAATAATTTAACAACCGGTTCTCTGCAGGGGGAGGTGGGGGCCGCTGCCATGAGGTAGGTAGGGGAGGGGGAGCTGCACCATGCACCTCGCAACCACTTAGCTTGCCAAAGGGTCCTCACAGCCAGGCCTACCATGCCCTGACATCCATCGCGCCTCGCCTGTTCAGTAATGACTTCTCCCACTTTCTCCCCCTTCCTCTTCCTAGAACAGTCCTTTGCTCCCATTGCTTCTTTTTCAGTTCCGGAGTTTTGTCCGGAGCCTGTGCAGAGGGTCTTTGGAAATGAAGCCCCACAGTGATCGGGTAGGGTAGGAACCATTCCCTTCGCTTTTGCACCGGCTCTGAAATGGGCTCGAAGGACTCCAATCTGGCTTTGCAGCAAGCAAGAGGATTGGAAGCATGTGAATGCATGCTAGTCTGCATCTCAAAAAACTGAGTTTTTTTCCTCCATGCTGGATTTTCGCTACCATACTGTTTAACTTTCTTTAAAGTTTACTTGATGCAGAATATACAAACTTTAAAGAAAGTTAAATAGTGAAGGGATGGTTCCCACCCCACCCAATTGTTGCAGGACTTCATTTTCAAAGACCCTCTGCAAAGGCTCCAGACAAACCAAGATCTGGGACTGAAAAAGTAGCAATGGGAACGAAGGGCTGTTCAAAGGAGGAGGAAGAAGGAGAAAGTGGGAGAAGCCCAAGAGAGACCTCCTCAGTCACCCTGCAAGCACCAACTGAAGCTGAAGCCCTGTTCTATGCCCAAGAGAGACCTCCTCCATCACCCTGCAAGTGGAGGTGGGGGGGAAAGGCAGGTGATCCAGATATGCCGCATGACGGCAGCAAGCAGAGGAAGAGAGGAAGCCTTCCCCTGCCTTCCTCTGCTTGCTACCACCATGCAACACATCCAGATCACCTGTCTTTCCCCCCTCCTCCACCTCCATTTGCAGAGTGATGGAGGAGGTCTCTCTTGGGCATAGAAAAGGGCATCAGCTTCAGTCAGTGCTTTGGAGAACCTCCTCCATCACCCTGAGGAGCGTGAGAGTGGCAAGACTTGAATGGCTGAAGGGAGGAGCCAAGTGAGAAAACCTCAGCATCATATTGAAAAAAAAGCTGGAAAAACCAGAGATGGGAAGGCCAGGAGTGGAGACTCAGATTTATCATAACTGGGTCGCCGAACTCAACAAAAAATTAGGTATCAGTTCTGCCAAACCAGTGCAAAATGGCTGAATCCACCCACTAGTTGACTCCCTCTTCTTTGTGGCAATATTGGAACATTGCTATCATGTCACCTCTCGTCCTTTTCATTAAACCAGACATACCCAATTCCTACAACCATTTTTCACTTGTTTTAGCCTTTAGTCCCCTAATCATCTTTGTTGCTCTTCTCTGCACTCTTTCTAGAAACATCCTGCATGCAAATACATGCTACATATTTTGCTTTAAGAGTATATAATTGGTCTTCTGCAATAACAGCTCTGAGTTGGAGGCTTTCTCAATTATCTGTTTAAGTTTTCTTTTTGAACTTCCATTCTGTTCCACTGTAGAATACCGTAGTTTTAGCTCCTCTACATATAGGAAACAAAAGCAATAAAAATTCATTCCACTTCATTAAATAGACTTTATCTGAGCAACCAAAAGATACTAATAACAAGAAATTTGTCTTGTGTTTTTGGAACAGAAGGAAGCTGTAAGGAAATGGCCATGTTTGTCTATCTTTGGTCTATTTCAGATGAGCAACAAGCTCATCATCACGTATTAGGATACCATTTTTTTCAAGCTAAGGTGATTCTGGCAAGATACTATTGCCATAAAAACTAAAAATGTCATTTCAAAAGCAAAACAAATAAAAACACTGCAAATAATACAAGTTTTATAATTCAGGTTTTCAATTATTTCATGTTTCTAACAATCTCTACAATCAATGTTACAGAGACGTTTATTTTATATACATTTAATCATAGTAAGACTGAAATATTTGCTTGATAAGTACAATATTGTGTTTTTCTGAAGTTTAATTATATTTTCTGTGTCTTTTTACCATAGATTGGATCTTTACATCATGGGCTTGGTTGTGTAAGTGTTTGCTTTCATATTTATATATTCAGTACAGGTAGTCCTCGAGTTACAAATGTAATGGAACCTGCCCATTCCATTCCTAACTCGAGAATTCATGGGAGTAAATCTCGTACCTCGAATGAGATCACTCCCTGCTCATTAAGACACACATGAGGTATGTCAGGGTGGGGAAGGCCATGGGGGCCTAGTGATGGAACAGGCCCCCAAGGCCTCCCTGACTCACTAAGATACCTCATGCTTCCCCTTCTCTTCCTGCCACGACGGACTTACTTACCTTGCAAAATCTGTCTCCTTTCTGCCGCGGTTTCTTTCTCTTTGAGGGAGAGGAGAGTCAGCTTGGAAATGCTTTTCGTGCCGACAGTGGAAGCTCCTGGGTGCCATAATATCGTGTGTGATTGCCAGTGGGGTGCTTCAGAAATGGAGTGTTCTTTTCCGTTTCTATAGCCCTCCCATTGGCAGTCACATGGACTTTCCAATCTCTCTCAGATCTCCTTTGGATAAAAAGTATTTTAGCGGCAGCAGCTTGAGTTTCTTTGCTCTGTCCAAGAAAGAAGTGGAAGTGCAGAGCAGGGTTGCTCTCAATAAGGCCGGCGCACGTGAGCAAGCAGCATACCTGCATCTTCTTGAAAGCAATCCTGCTCTGCGTCTCCGCTTTCTTCTTTTTGGACGGAGCGGAGAAACCCAAGTGGCTGCTGCCGTTTGAGTGGAGAGAACAAGTAGAAGAGTGATCAGGATTTGTGCCACCGGCCCATCAGGCAAGGAGTACGTTGTGCGGGGTGGGTAGCTGGTTGGGGACGGAGATCGTGGCCACTCAGATGGCTGTTTCCACCCGCAGCTTGGACCCAGGTGCAAGGGGACTCGCCCTACGATGCCTCCCCACTCAGTTTAAGGCTTTGTTCCTGCCCTCAAACTAATGCCGGCACACGCAAGCGAGCAGTGCACCTGGGCCATGGATGGCATTTCTTCCTGCACCCAGCCGACTCCAATTCCATGCTTTGCCCCATAGGCATGCAAACAAAGCAAACACTTCCCCCCCCCCAGAATGGAAGCTTCCAGGGGCCATGATCTCTTTTGCAGAGAATTTGTGTTTGAACTCGCATAATATTACGGCACCCAGGAGCTTCCGTTGTCGGTGTGAAAAGCATTTTTAAGCTGACTCTCCCTCAAAGGGAAAAAAAACCGCACCAGAGAGGACACAAATTTTGCAAGGTAAGTGAGTCCAGCGCGGCAGGAAGGGAAGGGAAATCAGTTGTGGGGAGAAGGGGGGGAATAGGGTGCATGTTGCAGAGCCTCTGCAGTCATTCGTAAGGGCGAACGACTGCCATGGTGCTGCAATATTCATAATTTTGGGACTTTCTCGTAAACACTAGGGGGCGCTGATCATGTAAAATTGAACAAGCGTTAAGTGAATACTCATAATTCAGGGATTACCTGTATTTATATATTCAGTAAGCAGATCTCACCATAGTTTTAGAAATGGATCCTTTCTAAAATTACAGTACTCTAGTTAGTATATAGAAAAAACTGAATCACTAATCTAAACATATTTCTATTTGCAAACGGAATTGATAAGTGTTTTCCATGTAGGATTCAGTTCAAGAAAGGGAAAAATAAATTGGAAGTATTATTTGCAAGGAGCAGCCTTATAAATTCAGGGAAATCGGTTATAATATGTTGCATTCCTGTTTCTGATTTATAGGTTCTGTCTCTCCCACATCGGCGGCTTGTTTGTTACTGTAGGCTCTTTGAAGTTCCAGATCCAAATAAACCTCAGAAGCTTGGATTACATCAGCGAGAAATATTTTTATTTAATGATCTCCTTGTGGTATGTGCCACATAATTTATACTATTTTATATTAAGGGAGAACCATTATTAAGCAGGAAAGCTTTCCATAGCCCTATTGCGTAAGGTACAAAAGTACAACTAAATTGGATCTGAGAGTTCCAGTCTGTAATCTAACTTACCAGAGCTTGCATACATTAAGTCCTTAATTTATAAAAAAAAACCTCTGAAATCTTCCCAATTTGCTGGAGTCAATCCTTCTTCTCTAAAGTAATTGCTTGTCAATACATTTTACCTATTAAAAGCAATATGCATATTAGTGTTGAGTTAACCTTGTCCTCACAGACTTACCATGATGCACATTTATCAATGGTACAAGAGCATTAATCTCCCACAAAAAGGAATGAATTGAGTGTTCTGGGTTTAATGAATTATATTTTGCTTTCCTATGAGAGAAAATAGTGTACCTTGGTAGATATCAGGATTCTCAAACATTTCATTCTTTTATTAAAGCTTTACTACCATTTAAAACAGTGTTAGAAGTACAAGGGTAATAGAAGCCTAGAATTTTTTGCCATTTAAAAATGGCCCAATTCTATGCATTCTTAGTAGTATTATAGCTGTTGTTATTGCTCAAGGCTTGCCTAACCAGCTGTATTATAGGAAGAATACCTTTTCCAACTCTTTCTTTGATTATATAAATTTGGCATTGAGGCAGAATTAATATTTCTAATGCTTGTTGTGGTTCACTACGCAAATGTGATCTATATTATTTAAGAACATAAAGCTATGTATTACAAAGTAAATCTAGAATACTCATATTTTAGTTAGATAATATGTTTCTTTATTTTTATTTATTGTCTGTTAATATTTTTAGGTCACTAAAATTTTTCAAAAGAAGAAGAATTCAGTCACATATAGTTTTCGACAGTCCTTTACCCTCTACGGAATGCAAGTTCTCCTTTTTGAGAATCAGTGTAAGTCTCTCTATCTGATTTGAGAATTCATTGTAAATCATTTTTAAGAATGAATGCATCTTTTAGTTACATTTTTCTAATTCCCAAGATATATAGCAACATCTTTATCTCACTATAGAAAGAAATTGCTTGGCTGCTCTGGCTTCCAAAATTAACATTTGGAATTTATACAGTAGTCCATAATATATTTTCCAGATGGTAAATCACAACATAGTTAGAAACAATACATACACTATAGGCTATGCTTAAATGGCATTTAAACTTAAAATATTTTAATACAGGATTTTAATACATAAAGTTAAAAATATTACAACTTTCCTTAATCCAGAACAATTCTGGAACTGATTTGTAGATCAGCCATTGGCAGTTTCATAAGAATATGAAAGTTAACAGAGAAGCGTTGTTGAACAAACTAAGTTTGTTAAGAGCTTTGGATTATACTTAATGCCTTTGAATATATTAGTTTTGGATATCACCACTGCACAGATATTACTTATATCATGTTTCTCTGAAAGTAAGACTTACCCCGAAAATAAGCCCTAGCTTGATTTTTGGGTGTGGGCCTAATATAAGCCCTAACCCCCCCCCAAATAAGCCCTAGTTTTGGGGCGAGGTGCACACCTAAAAAGGTAGAGCAGGGGTGGGGGGTGGAGCTGCCCCATGCACCCCGCACCCACTTACCAGGTCTCCCATGAATCAACACCTGCCTCTCCTCGCCAGCCTGCATTTTACAGTCAGAGACCTTTCTGGAAGGCCTCTGCAGCCGAGAACCGAGCTATGGATTCAATCTGTAGCTCTGTTCTTGGCTGCAGAGGCCTTTCCAGAAGGCCTCTGACAGTGAAATGCAGGCCAGAGCTCTATTCTCAGCTCCAGAATGAAGCTGCTCCTTCGGCCGCATAAGCAGTGGCAGGGCTGTTGGTCCCACCACTGCAAGGTGAGTGGAAAAGACACTCCCTGAAAATAAGACGTGGTGCCTCTTTTGGAGGCGAAAAAAGAAGACGGTCTTATTTTCGGGAAACACAGTAGTCCCATCCGCATGTGCCCCAAGTGCAGGATATACTTCTGCTGATTTTCCAAAAGACTTTCTAAGTTAAGGGTTTTTTTTCCTAAAGATTCTGAAAATATGAACATTACTGAAAGCATTGCTGTAAGAGGAATTAAGACACACTCAAACATTTGCTAAAATTATGATCTCCAGTAGCTGTATGCTGAATACCTAATGTGAGAAATGGTGATTTACAAGGGCAATTCAGGAATAAACCTTTGTTTGATTATCAATGACAGACACTCGCAGATACAGAATTTTTATTATACACATTAGAAAACTACAACCTAATACATCCCCACACTGGAAATCAGCATGTCCCAGCGCTTGTTATGGATGACTCGTCTGAGTTTTCATAACATTTCACAGTAGACTTCTGAATTGATGGTCGAACCACGTTCCGTGAACTTCACTAGCAGTATTCCGTTGGCATCTTCACATTTGGCGGGATTTTCTATGGCACCACTTCCGGTGTGGTGTTGGTTCACAATAATGCTCGCCCCCACACACTGCTAGATGCACCCAAGAACTTTTGAAGCAATTATGTTGGAATGTTTTTGATCACACACACCCCATAGCCCAGATTTCACACTGAGCGACTACTACTAAGGAATTTCAAACTTTGTAAGACATTATGACAAGTGCCTCAATTTGAATGGTGATTATGTAGAAAAGTAATGTAATGTTGTATTTTTTTAATGTGTATAATAAATGTTCTGAATCTGTGAGTGTCCGTCATTGATAACCAAATGGAGGTTTATTTCCAAATTGCCCTCGTAGTTTGTTAGAAATGTATAGTACAGTGTGGGAAAATCTCTGAAGCTCTTCTTTAGAAGAAATAGGGAAAAAGTGTGTTTATGCAGTAATAGAAATCCTTTATTGAAATATTTTTTATACATGGAGCTGTGGAAATAATGAAATGGAATTAATACAAATGGGGTATTTTTTGTTTATGTTTTTTTGCTACCTCTTAGATTATCCAAATGGCATACGACTGACATCAGCTGTTCCGGGAGCAGATATCAAAGTTTTAATAAATTTCAATGCTCCAAATCCCCAGGACAGAAAGAAATTTACAGATGATCTGAGGGAATCTGTTGCAGAAGTACAAGAAATGGAAAAACACAGAATAGAGTGTAAGTACCAAGGTAGATACAATAGAGTACCTATAATTAATTATATATTTCGTGAAACACTTATTTCAAGTGCTTTGCACAGCTCTAATAGAAACACATATATAAATACATCCAAACATAACATTTACATATATTTATATAAAGCTCTACATTGCGTAAAGCTTGAATATTTGCAAAACCACTTATCTAGAGTTGTGCATCCCTATCCAGAAATTTATTTTTGGATTAGTATGCTTAGACTCTAGCTGTTAAAAAATATCATTTTGTATGATCTAGAAGGCCTGGCTTCTGTGTTGTGCAGCTGCTGTAAGAAACAACCTTCTTTCTGAGGCTGAAGAACCCCAACCCTGGGGGCCTTAAAGAAAGCCTTGAAGGCTCGGCTGTTTCAATAGGTTCCAAGTCTTTATGTCTGCCAGCCATTGACTTTGAGTTGTGAAAGGTCCTTGGTGTTCTCTAATTGTTTCATTGCCCCAACTAGGTAACATCATCAATAAACATCAGTAAACGTCTGAGAGCTCAGAGAGCATCAAGGACCCCTCATTTCAACCCTGAGCTACAAATATTCTTCTTTATTGGTACTTTGAGTTGTTGTTGTTTTGTAAATAGTTATAGTAGTACCTCCACAGGTATGCCTGTTTCAAGTGGAAATGACATTTTTAGCACACAGAATATTCCCCTACATTGAACTGAATGGGGCTTTCTCTCACCATACAGAAATCCTGTCGTGTATAACATAATTGATGGATTGCAGTGCAATATTTATCCAAGTTTTAAAATAGTTTAATTTTCTTTTTCAGTTGTATTTATTTATTAGATTTATATTGCCTTCCTTTCAAGAAGAAATGGTAATGTATTTAGTACACTACTCTTCCCCAATTTCTCCCCAGGTGTAGATTGTGCTGAGAAAGAGTGATGGGACCAAAGCAGCTCCAGTGCAATACATAAGTTGATTAGTTAAAAAGTAAAAGTTGAAAAGTTAAAAAGTTGATTAGTTACATTTAGGCAAGAAAACCAAATGCCCAGGTACAGTATAGGT